AAGATTGTTGAACTGTATTCAATCTGCAACCTTGAATCCAATCGCTCTCCTACACGAGTCTGTGCTTTAGTCTTGTTACCTCCCCAGAGAGCAAAGCCTTTTTTAGCCTCTGCAGCTGAAATGATTGTGACACCAGTTGCTCATTTGTAGCGGCGGCGTCCAGCCATGTGCAGGTGGTGGAGGTGAATTATTTCCCCTTTTAATGCCCATCACACGTGTAGAAGAGAAAGCTCCGTCTCTGCTGCAGATTCTGTTTAATTCATTGCTTTATTTTATAATTCCGGCAACGTTTTCACTCTGACGTTATGTAATTTCAAAGATCTGAGCCTTGTTAAAGCTTTGTAACCCTTTAATTGAATCATACCTGCAGATTCACCTTTTCCAATGGGATGTATTGACACGAGTTGCTGTATACAGCTGCATTGAAATTCATCCGATCGCTTCGTCTGCTTTTCATCACCCTGCCAACAATCCACTTAGTAACTCCCAAGAACACAATGCAAAATAATCAAGGTGACCCCTCCCCCAAACAGTTAGAGCACCTTGACCTTCACATAGCAGATGGAAACAGTGATGAAGTACCCAGATGGACAGGTAGAATATCACCTGTTGACTTATTCATGGATATTTGCATTACAAACACAGTAGCTGGTGTTTTATAGTGGTGATTTCTGCTCCTGTAAAGAAGAAATATTGCGATTTTCACCACAACTGTACGCTTTCATGATAAGTTTTCTACACAGTAAATATATAAACAGGAATTGCCTCAGTATGTATGGTCGGAGGGTATACTATGTCCTTATATATGATAGTGAAATATGCCTTAGTTAGCATTTAAATTGGTTTTATCTTGTTTGGTGAACTGTCATTTTGTTATACTCTGTTTATTTTGGCATGAATCAGTCATAGTACAGGTCATCCAGTGGCATTTTTGTCTTTATGTGACAATAAGGAGGTTGAGTGCGTCCGAGGAGAAAACTGCTCTGCTGAACCTGAACTGCAGACATTAGAATTAAACAATTTACATTTTAACCACATCTGAAGACACCTACATGTCCAGCCTGTATTAATTCTGATTAGTCTGAGTCTGCAGAGTTTTGAATAAAATGCTCAGTTTTTCAGAGACATTTTATTCAAGTAAAAAAAAAACCTGCCAAAACTTTAGAATTTAGTACAGGAAGAAAGGGGGAAGAGAAGTGAATAATTAAGAGAAAGCCTGAGAGATTTAAATTTAATAATTCCATTATATTATGAAATAAAAATGTTGTACTTGCGTTTTTAGGCAGAATGTGATGAGCAGCCTTAAAAAAAACATTGTTTTTAACACTCAGAGTGTGTGTGTGTGTGTGTGTGTCCAAGTGTGTGTTTGACAACCTTCCTGTGGGAATCAACCGCTGATTGAGGCAGAAACAATCAGCGAGAGCCTTGTTACATGGAACCCTGTCATCAGACTTGCAAATAATCACGCCAGCTAATTGATTAAATTCAGCAAAATCACATGTCCTCACCGACGGCTCATAACACAATGTCTTCATCCTCATCTTGTCACATTCAGGGGCACGCTACCAGGATTTCCCCGCGCAATATTCCGCTGATAAAAGCTGTGTCGCTTGCCACAGTGATTTCCATCAACTCGCTAAATTGCAATCAATGCAAATGTGACAAAATAATTGAGTGAAAATGCGACATATGTCTATATTGATGCAATTCTTAGTAATCAGGCCACTCACTGACTTTTTGTCTGATATGCACATTAAAGATTTTATATAGCACTGTATGCATTTGTTAGTATTACTGGCATTTGTAATCCTCAATTCAGTGATATTACAGGTTTGAATTCCCTCCTAGAGAAGACAGCCAAGAATCTAAACTGGATCTGTATTTTAAAAACACCTGAACGACCCTAATTGTTATTTAAACCTGCAATAACTGATTTTTTTGGCCATTCTGGGACAAAAAGTTTTAAATTCATAAAGCAAATTTGTTGGTTACAGAACAACCTCAGCATACGTTTTAGCCTTTTAGCTCTGTTTTTGGTCTCCTCCATCTCCTGAATGAAATATCTCGGAGTTTTTTGAAAACTTTACCAAAACTTGCTATGAATCACCTTGAAGCCAAGCAAATCCTCAGCTGATGAATCTCTGCAAGTTCATCACTACAACCAACACATTGTCACATCATCTGTTATTACAAAAAAAATATTGATAGAAGCCGTTTTGTCAGATCCAAATCAATTCTTGAACCAGAGATATCGAATTCCATTGTTCATCTTCTTTGCCACAATGTTTACTCATAATGCAACATGACTACGAAGAGTTCGGTCACAGATTTCTGTGTTAACTAGTTTGCATTTTCAAACTCGCGGTCCTCAACCCCAGCCGACACTAACTTAAGTGACTTCCCTCGAGGATATTTATCAGACTTCACACACTCCCACTAGAGCCACAAAAAGGCTCTTTACAAAGTTCTTCACACATTCCCTGAGACATAAACCTGACACACTTTTTTAAAATGTTTGTTCTAATCTTTAAATATCTGAAATATTGAACTTTGGATATCACCTGTTTCCCCCCCCCCCCAAAAAAAACAAAAAAACCCAACTTATTTGCATCTGCATTTTGCTTTTATCTGAGTGTGATACGAGAGGATTGATGTGAGATAGTTATCTGGGTTTTTCTTGCATGAGGAATTTTTGCTGCCCCACAAAGACGGTTTAAGGAGAACAAGAGAAAAATCTAAAAAAGAAAGAAGAAACTGCCAGAACCAGTTTTGGAGTTTATTTACTGGGGCACAATTGACACACACATAGATAGTGGTTATTGTTGTGCAAATTTGCAGGATTCAGGATGTGTTTATAACATGAAGACTAGGAGCATGACAAAACAGCCAACCAGACTCCACCAATTCCAGCTAACAACACAATTAAATCATTTTGTGCATAATGACAGGCTTATCTTAATACTAATGTCCTCACAGCTCTGATGGAGTTCAGGATTCATCCACAGAAGCGTCAGTACAAGTAATTCCTCCTTATAAACCTGGAATCTGTTTTGAACATATTGGAGCAAAAATTACCATCAGATCCTCTGTTTGTGACTTTCCCACTGAAAATGTGCGCATCAGTCTCAATTTAAAGATGCTCTTATCGTTTCTGCTGCTGTGGGATGCTGCAAGAGTTTACTGAAGTTAAAGCAAAGAATGTGACGGAGGGCATCAGTGGGTGATTTAACGTTTCTGGAAAATCCCAAATGACTTACTGTGAAACCTGAAAAACATTATTCTAAGACTCAGACATTAATCTGACACGTTTCAGATCTGGGGGTATCTGGCCGCATTTAAGTTTGAGTTAGAGAAGGTAACGACAGACAGATTAATAAAAGGAGATTATATTTATTCCAATTTCAGTTTTATTGGTAGAAAAGTTGGGAAAATATTGCCAAAGCATCAGTTAAATTATGGCAGCTGTAATTACAGAACAAACAAAACACCTGTATCATTCACCAAGGAAAAGAGACAAAAAAAAACAACAACAACAACAAACAAACACAATAAATGTTGGGGACAGAGGGCGGACAGAGCCTTTTCTGTTGCTGCTCCCACCCTCTGGAACTCCCTTCCATCTCCCATCCGACACTGCTTTGACCTCAACACATTCAAGTCCCTTTGAAAAACTCCCCTTTTAAAGATCGCTTTTAATGTTTAACTGTTTTACATTTTTATTTTTTACCTGCCTTTTCTACCTTTTTTTTTTTTAATCGGTATTGTACTCAACTTGTTTTGTTCTTGTTTTTATCTTATCCCCTGTTAAGCAACTGAGTATCGTGAAAAGCGCTATACAAAATAAATGTATTATTATTATAAATAATTAGAAAAAAAAACAGCAAGCCTATGAGAAGACAGAATGAGACATATTTTTAACTGTGTATTGCCAGGGACAGATTGGTGTTTACTCAGTATTAGAGGGGAACAAAGAATGCATGGTTATATTAACAACTCAACAGCTCATTGTAATTGTAAAGCAATTTTTGTGCTTTTAGTGTGAGTTGGAACTGTTTCTGACAGTTGGACACATTGAGGTTGCCAGATTTGGCATCATCATCCCACTATAAAACCTTTATTCATCCAAAATATAACCACAAGCTGTTCTTTTAGCCAGACAAGCTGCAATAAAATGGTGTGTTGATAGCTATTAGTAAAGTTGGTTGTTAAATTGGTAGTTCAATACAATTTCCTATGTTTGCTGTTTCCACCAGGCTTTATGCTAAGCTAAGCTCAGCTCTCTTGACTCTACATGGGACTGCTATCAATCTTATCATCTCATTCCTGCAAAGAAAGTAAAAGCATGTTCCTTTAAAGTAGCTTCAATTTATAACTAATAATTCTACAATCCTTTCATTCAAACTGCTTTTATGTAGAGATGCTTATTTTCTGTTGTATTATTGTGGGACTTGTTCTTCTGCTGCGTTCTGCACGTCTTCAGATGTTCTGTTTGCTGTCGTATTGTATGTATCACTTATAAATGAGTGAGGGTAATAATTGTCCTAGATGTTTTGTTCCTGTGTTGCCTCAGCTCAAGTACGACTGGAACATTGTTTTCCTAGAAAAGTATTGTTGACAGAAACATAATCACACTGAGGCAGAGCAGCCATTGTAACCATCTTGAGCGTTCAACACGTCGGACTCTGTGTTTTTCATTCTCTTCATGTGCTGCTTTGATTACGCCTGTCACTTCATGTAAATGCCGTCTGCTGTTTATATTTCATTCCTGACAGTGTTCAATATGCAGCGATGAGCTTGTGTTTGCGTGCGTGCCACCAGACGTCAATGCATTGACAAATTCTCGCCCAGGACAGGGAGGCTTTGTACATTTTCAAGGATGTTTATGTAATTTCTGGCAGCATTTCGATGAAACCGACACCTGAGGGATGAGCCCGAGGAGGAGCAACTTGTTATTCCATCATGACTGATGCTCACTTCTGTTTGATCCTCATGTCTTTCAGGCCAACAAACTTCGAACCAAGACCCTGCACAACACACTCAACCCTGTCTGGAGCGAGACCCTGACCTACTACGGCATCACTGATGAGGATATGGTCCGCAAGACACTCAGGTACTGTCGACGCTATAGAGGGAGTGGAAGCAAGGGAGGGGTTGAAAGTGGGAAATTAAGAGCAATAAGTTTAAAAGGAGGAGGGGCACAAATAAAAGTAATGAAAGGAAGGAAACATAAACAAAAACGTCTGAAGAGGAGAGTACATAGGGGCGTTTTTCATTATGCTAAAGTGTCTTCTTGCTTCCCCCACTTGCATGTGTTCCTCATGATTTAGCTCTTTCCAGTGAGGATGCAAGAAGCGGCCAAATGACAAATTCTGTTGCTCCCTTACATCCGTCTTAAGTAACAAAGCCGCATCACCTGTCAAATGAAACCCCCACCCACATATATGCAGCATTTGTACGTCACACCAATTTATAAAAAGACTTCAATGTAGGATACATCTGCGTTTCCTCGCTCTGAGCTCCTCTAGCCTCCATCTTTGATTTTCATCTCCATGAGGAGCATTGAACCCTCTGAACACCCAAACCCACCGGGAGGTTTGAAAGGCATGTTATCTTTGTAAAAATTACGAAAATTACTCAATTTATTAAATACAGAATCTGTGAAAGTAAAAAGACTGACTGGATTTTTAACTTTGTGAAAGCAGTTCTTGAACTAGTTTTGTTTGATGTGCTTCTCTATTGGGAAAAAAATAACAAATCTAATTTTGAAAATTATATTTGATCAAAATCGTTTTATTCTACATGTCCAATTCCAAGCTTTTCAAAAATATTTGCAGACTCTAGACTCTGTAAAAAAAAATTATTTTTTTTTAAAGTATGGATTTCAGTGTTTACACAGAGCAGAAAGGAAACAAGTGTTGAAAAGAAGTTCGAAATCTAAGTGGTAAAATATCGATAGCATGCAGAGCTGTATGTTGTGCACATTGATTTCATTTTTTTTTTTTTCAATTTCTGCAAACATACTCAAAGAAATTCAACTTTTGATTTTCTTTTTTATGATTTACATCATTTAGACTTTCTTATGCTGTACAAAAGACATTTCTAAGTTCCCTCTACTTCTAGACAGGGTTGTGCTGTTTCCATAGAGGTGCAGGACTTTACATTGCAGTGACAAACGAGCCAGCAGTGAGTAAAAATGTAAAAGGAGCAAAAAACTGCAAGATCTATCATGATGGCGGATGAGGAACAACTTTCAGGTCACAAGAGGTGGGAGGATAAATAAATAAATATTACCCAAAGAATGGAATAAAAACAGGGGAGAGGCAGAAAAACAAGGGGAATACAAGACAAAAATGAATGTAACAGAAGAAAAGGCAAAAAGCAAAAGAAAATGAAAAGAATAAAAGATGTAAGGGAGAGCTGCTGTCGGTCTGTTTAGAAAATAATTTGCAGGAAGAAGTAATGTTTGACAGTTTGTCGTCTTCTGGCCTCCTGAGGTAAATGACTATATTATAGCCTTTATTTGACAACAGCCATTTTATCCAGATGTGACTGACGGTCCTATTTATCCCGTGTATTCATTTTCACTGCTAATTATAATGCAAGTTTGCAACCAGGATGTGTGTTTGGCCCTGACCAGAGCAACAGTCAGGAAATCCTTTGTAGTCTGATGTCCAAGCAGCATGTAGGTTGAAAGGACTTTCCATTGTTTGGTTCCTTATTTACTGCAACACCTGAGAAAACCCGGAGCCAAAACTTCACCTTACCGCTATAAATATGACTCTCTTATGCAATGCAAGTGTTACTTCACTGTTCTTTGCTCCTGTATTTTTACCAAAGTGCAATCAAGTGTTGGAGGTAGGTTATGCAATCACATGCATAATCAGTTTGGGAGCTACAGCGTGTTTCCCAGTGATAGTGGGCCGTGTACAGTGGAGGATTGGAGTTGCTTTTTTTCTTCTGTTTCCCCCCGAAAGCATCCCAGTCACTCCTGTGTTTGTTTCCAGCAATAACGTTGGACTCTTACTCCTACCTGCAGCTGAGACTTCCTCAGAGGACCAGTTGCATTATATCACTTGACAGTTTGTTCCTAGGTTTCTTCTATATTGAAGAAATACAGGTGTCATGGCAAAAAAAAAAAAAAACAAGCAACAGATTGGCTGTAATGGCCATTTGTAGGTGATTTCAGGTGATGCCAGTCAGTGTGTTAGTCTGTCACAGGCTCTGTTCATCACTTTGGTCCAATCTGAACTGTTTTTGTGTAGACGTTCATGACGTCACCAACAGTTCAGTTTCCTTGATGTTTTCCCCTTTGTGCCACAATATCACCATGAGCATTTGTTGTTTAAGTTAAATCTCAAAACAATTATCATGTGAATTTTCATGAATGTAGATGAAGACATTCAAATAAAAGAAATACTACAAAACTTTGATGTTAACCATTATATTGATCATCACCAAAATGTCAAAATCTAAATTTGTTAGCTATTTTTTAAAACAAAAGTGGGTAAAGCTAATGATATTCCCTCTCACTTCACTTATTCATTATAGTTGCCTTGTAGAGTTTTACTGTATCACACACTGTAGTTCACAGATGTGGGATATTGTATTTTTGCTAATATACAGATGTTTTTCCATTCAATTTTGCCGATGCTGATTATAAAATTTTTTCCACCTAATTACAAAGAACATTGGGTCTCTCCTTTAGTGGAAATAACCCCCTGAAGCCCAAATAATTTTTAATATGCTGCCACACTTGTCTCCTCTCTGCTCTGTGTAAGCACCACCTGCAGTTCAACCTAATTCAGTTACATTTTTGTCTTATGACTATTAGCTGCAGGTCGGTCACTAATGGCTTCACAGTTGCGGTGAGGTAAGCTGAATGTTTTTTTTGTTTTTTTTTTTGCAGAATGCTGTTAATGCAAATGCTTCGTTTCTGGCAGATATTTAAACGAGACATGTCGAATTGAGTGATTTTAATGAAATATCACAATTTTAAGGTGTGAGTTGGTTAATTTTCCTGATGGAACAGCACGTCACGTCAGATTAGTAGTTCAAGGACCGTCGTAAATCTGAAATTCTAATAAATCTTTCTGTTTTCACAGTTTCTGACTCTGATAAATGGTGGAATTTTTGCTTCTTTTTAAACACAACATGCCTTTCAAACTTGCAGGTGGGTTTAGGGGGTTCAGAGGATATCAAAATGTCTGTTTTTATGACAAAGGCCAACCAGTTGGTGTAGACATAAAATAGCTTGCTGTACAAATGTACAAACTCTCTAGGCAAGATAAGAAAACTATTTCAACTTCTATGTAAAAAAAAAAAAAAGAAGCCATACTCTCTTATTTTACTATAACATTTTCATACAGAATTGAAAACTGACAGATGATAAACATTTGACTTAATCTTTTTTTCAAACCTCAATCTATTTATTCTCAGTCTTTTGATAGAACTGTTACAGATTAAGAGCTGGAAAGAATGAGCTGTAACTCAGCAGCTGCTGAAGTAATTCCCGAACTGCTGTTATTGACCGGCAGCCTTATCAACATGCTGCAAATGTATCGCTGTATTTTACTGGTTATTTTCTGTTACAGTACAGAAAAAAAAGACTGTATTGTTGCTGTGTTGAATAAAAACAATGAAGGTGTGTAGTATTGGCGGCGGGGATCTGATGGACACCTTTTCACCAACAGCACCTTGATTAGCCATTTTGCAAAAAACAATAAACCGCGAGAAAAAGGTCCCCGCGTTTTCCAAATGGCACGACTCATTTCTTTTTGTAAATTGAAATCTGAATTCAGCACCACCTGATGATGAGTTATTGTTGTTATTATTGTGAGTCTGATTACAGCACATCCCATACAGGTTAATACACATCGCTCGTGCACCATGGCTGCATGTTTTTCCTCCATGCGTAGCGGCTGATTATGCCAAGAAAGGCACTCGAAACAAACAGTACTCCTCTACATGAACATGATGCAGTCGTGAGTACAAATCACGTCATGTCAGGGCTGTTAGTGGTTACATAGGGTCTGCTCTCTGCATTTATTAAAGACATGGGTCTGCTGGGAGCACCAATAATTGGCTTTCATTATAAATTTAATGAAATGGTTGAGAGGCATATAGATCCGTCTGCAAAGTAAAAACCTTAAAGCTTATTGTACAGCATTCGTGCCTTTGTCCTCTCTGTGGTGAGCCACGTCTCAGTTCACCGTCAAACATTGATTTCTGTAAGCAGCCGCGGCCTACTGTGTTACATTATGAGCCTTCATTTCTGCTGCAGCTTACAAAGGTCTTGCATTGAAGCGAGGATGTGTGGTGCGTTTATGTGTTCGGTGGAAACAGACAGAAAATGGGCGCGCAATGCAAATCAGAAAACAGGCAGAATGTACCATGCGGCACAGCGCAATTCAATTCAAGCGGCACTAATTCAGTAAATAAGACGAGCAGAGCAAGACATGTTCAAGATGAAGCCATGATTTAGTTTTAAACGTGATGGGGAACAATGTCATCTTTCAGTCAGCTGAGAGTTTCCCCAACTCATTTTGAAGTATTTTAATTCTTGTATGGCTGAATGCTTCCTAAAGCATCATTATCCCATCATTTCCTGTCACACTGATTGAGTCTGACAAAGATCTTATGAACTCCTTCGCTGCAGTGACACCGGGCTTTAGCTCCAGTGCTGCGGCCCCTGTGATTTAGGGTTAGCTGTAGCGTTGAAGAGTGAAGAGTTTGGTGAGAATTGAATCCTCTGTGATGGATTTCCAGCTGGAAATTCACGTCCTCCTCTTTCTGCTCTGCTCTTCCCGCCTCAGGATCTCGGTGTGTGATGAGGACAAATTCCGCCACAACGAGTTCATCGGGGAAACGCGGATCCCACTCAAGAAGCTGAAGCCCAACCAAATAAAAAACTTCAACAACTGCCTGGAGAAACAGCTACCTGTAAGTCCACTGTGCCTCGCATTTTCAAGCTGTTGAAAATGTGTGGTTTTGTAGTTTTTTTTTTAATCAACAGGACTGGAGCAGTGTTCATTCAATTGCTCCGCTATTGCAGTTTAACGGTCACACTCTTGACACTGGCTGCGTCGGCTTTTCAAAAATGTTAACAATAAGCTCAAATTGTATGATGCCTCATTAGATACAACCAGAATGGAGAGAGAAGGTTAACCATAACTTTTGGCTGCACCTATCTTTTACCAGTTACTCTAACGTTTTTTTTCAATTACTGCAATGGCAAGGTCTATTATTGTCGAGATTTTTTAAAATTACTTAATATGGCAGTTAATTGACCCAAAATGAATATAAAAAATGCTTGTTAGTAATACAAAAGACTGGACAGTACACCAAGTGATGTTTAACACAAAATAATGCAAAAGTCTGAATCTAAGCTCAGAGCGAGCTCATCTGTGCAAATAAATTTATTTGTGACTCTCCCTTAAAAGTCTGTCCTTGTGTGATGATAATCGAACTATTACTTTCACAACAAAATATATCCTGATGGCTGTGATGGAGCTCAAGACTCAACCTGCTTTTTAAACAATTGACTCACCTGCAGGTTCTGAACTCTATAATCTGTCTGAGGTAAAGAAAAGTCCACAGTTTGATTTACTTTTGGATCCATCCTGTCTCCACATCATGGATCATTTCTAATTAGTTATGGCTCTTGTTTTAAATGCATAAATGTGTGCAGCTCTCTCTCACTTTGGAGACTCTCATATGGATCCTGCATATATTTAATAAACTCAGAGGAAAGACTCTTGCAAACAGCTGGAAGCAACAAACTGAATTTAAACATCTGTTAATGTTTTGTCCAAAAAGATAAACAGGTTGTATTCACTATTGCTGGGTGTTGTTGTGAAGTTGTAAGGCAAAGAAAGGTGTTTTGTGATTTTGGCATGAAAAAGGTGCATTTTGCCCTCTGTGATGTTTTTCGATGAATATTGATGCTGAAATATGGAAAGATCCTTCCCCAAATCACTTCACATCCCTCCAAGTGCAGGCTTATCCATTAATGCCGCAGCATGCAGTTCAGCTTTGTGCCGTGTTGAAAGCAGTTTGGGAATTTGCAAAGTATTAAAAGTAAGTCTGACCAAGTAACATTAGCAGAAAGGAGAGGAGCGGCTTTAGTGACATAAACAGACAATAACGGAGAAAACTCATATAAGTAGAGGTGCACTCGAAGAATGCAGTTCCCTTTCTCTGAATTTAAAATAAAGTGATTCAGATCTGAACCAACATTTAATGCATTCTTCCTTCGGCTGTGCTCTATCTAGCTGTCAGGTTTCATGAAATTCATTTGGGTAGCTTTTGCATAATCCTGCTGACAGACAAACAAACAGACAAACAAATGGCATTTAATTCCTCCACCGACTCTCGCCTTGGTGGAAGAATTAAGGTTTGCTGAGCAACAGTTGTTTCATCAAATGCAGTTTTGTTATTTTTCTACATGTTCTCAGTCTGTTCTGCAGCACTATACATTATTATATATGTCAAATCAATACTGTGCTTTATATATTATTGTATATAGACCTAAACTACACTAAATTACACTTTTCTTTAGTACACCATTCTACACTATTTGTCGACTATACTACATACTGGACTGTGTTTAATAGTCAGAAATATCGTCCTTCTTGTTGTTGTTTTTTTTTCTCGGTTTAGCAAGCACCTGCATAGAAATAAGCAGCAAAATATGTGATTTATATTAAACTGAAAACAAATCAGACAATCAGTGACAAGAAACAGCAGCAATTAAGTCAGCATGTGGGCGGCAAGGGTTGTTTTTTTTTTTGTTCATATTTAATACAGATTTTATTTGAGAGCAGCGTGTAAAAACCTTGAATGCAACATTTCATGGCTTCAGCGTGGTTTATAAATTACCTGTGGGATCACAAATTTAATCAGGGCCACTTTATTTTTCGTAGCTGAGGGACGAAACATGGCAGCAACTGCTGGGCAGCGAGGCTCTGACCTTCCTGTGTGTCTCCACTGTGAGCTATTTGGTAGCAGCAGGAGATTAGTAGATGCAACATTATATATATACTTAGCATTTTCCACCTAATTAAATAATACAGTGTGCTCCTGTATTCTTACTCCTCGTCTCAATTGTCTTTTATCATTTCACTGTTTCAGCTTTGGTCTTTAGATCATGTTTATCTCATGAGTAATCCTGAGAATTAACCCTTCGGGGATCAACATTGCTCAGTTATATGTGGAAGCCTTTGTTAGAGTGTTGCATGGAGACACCTGGACTGTTTCTATTGTTAACTCGTTTTTTCTTTTTACTCTGTGATTTTCACTGGGTACATGTGAGATAATTGGCATAACCAGAATGAGCAGGATTGCAATAGTTGTGCTCCAGGAAAAGATGTCATTAAAGTAATGCATGATGTTCCATATAATAGATGTTAATAACTGCAAGAAGCAACAACGGCATCCATAAGGATTTAGTTTAAACCACACGACAGATTAGAGCGTTGAGCCCATAAGTGCGTTGCTGGAGTGGATTATGTGTTATGACAGCATGAGAGTGGGGTGAAGTGTCATTGAACTGTGATTGAATATCCTTTTGAAATTGCCTACACAGTTTATGGTCTAAAACAAAAACAAAAAACAAAAAAAAGGGTGCAGTGTAATTTTGGATCATCCATATTTGGAGTATGGAGCCACTGTCTTGTGCTTAGAGAGACAGGTTCCTGTTGCTCCTCTCATAAGCTTTTGTTGTCTACGTGGGAGTATGAAACAGCGTCCAAAAATACAGCGTATGCTTGTGCAAAACTGGCGTCAAACAACCACAGTGCATTCATCATTCCGGGCAGGGATTTTGTCAAGGTTTGTTAGTGCATGTTATGCTTCCTAAAAATGACCATATTTCATGCAATGATTTGATACGGTATTGTAGAAAAACCAAGCTGAGTTTAATCTAACATTACCTCTCTTGTGCTAAAAATCTGAATATTTGCACTTTGAGAAATAAATGTATTTTAACAATGATTTTTTAAAAAACAATTAAATGTTACTTTACAGATTTTCCCTGTTTTGCTAAACTACAGTTAATCACTACTAAAATCACAGTAAAACATATTAATTTAAATGTTAACCCTTAAATCAGACCAAAACTTTAAATAATGTTCACATTACAAAACCTGTATTTTTACAAATAATAATTTGTTGTTGTATGTATAATTAAATTAATAATCTCAAAAAATATCATTTTACAGACATTTGCCATTATTTTAAAGAAAGACTATATACATGAAGTATATAAAAATAGTACATTATTTTTAAGGCTGTATTGTACAAATTTACTCTGTTTTGTTCTATTCAAATAATATCTAATGTAAGATCATATCTAGTAAAATCTGAAAAAAGTATTAATTTACATGCTCAAACAAAGAAAACAGAGTGAAACTCTAAAACAAAAAGAAAAACTAATGACATCAAAAATCTGTATTTTTACAAATTGTCATTATTTGTTTTTCAAAATTTTACCATAAAATGTCACTATTGTTTTACTTTATTGGTTTTGTTTTTGTTTTTTGCAATCAATAAGGAATGCACAGTGAGATCAGGGTAATACTGACAGTAGAATCAAGTATTTTCACAGCCTCCACAGCAGAAAGAACAACCTGACGGTGATGTCTCTTGTTGAATCTTCACCTTCCCTGTGACTAAATGTGAAAATGGCTCAGAAAATTAGAGGCGGATCTGCATGAAACTGCTGCCTGCAGCTTTACAACAGCTACCTACAGTGTAGAGTGGATGCATTAACCCTGTGTACCGTATATACATTATATGCATACTTACATTATACATTCTTACACTGAGCCTCCTTTAGTGACAGTAAAACTAGAGGATGTTTGATCAGATGTGCGGCTCCGACCATTTTAGAAAAGCTTCAGGGTTAACATTTGTGTCAAATTCCACGACATTTTTTTCCATTTCTGCTTCAGTTCGATTGCGTTGCTATTTTGGAGCATCATTTCATATGTCTCACCCCAGCAAGGGGAGAGTTTAAAGCACAGGTTGGCCGTTTTCACTCAGAAATGCTTGAAGGCAGAGTGGAGCTATGAGTGTTGCAGGTTACAGCTCAGGCAGGTAGCTCTGCTCTGCTTGCTCTGATACTGAGTTCTGTCTGAACGCAGGATGTTGTTTTATGTGCTGGGGAGAGTAGAGAGAGCCCCAGCCATTTAATCATCTCATCCAGCAGCTCGCAGTGCCTGTCTTATTGATGGTTTTGGCCTGACAGTGGAACATTTTGACGGGCTTGTTCAGCTCATAAACAAGTCAGTCCGCCTGCAGAGATGTGTAGATGTAACCGACAGACATTTTTACCAAATCTATGTCATTTTAATTGATTTATCTTTCCATTTTGGCACACACTGGGAGTTTATAGTACTTCTATGCATGTTCAAGTTAAAGCACAGAGGCCAGCCCTTATAAATGTGCATCAGATGTGTTCATGAATGCAACATATTTACATAGAAACAAGCTCATGCACATTCAAAACCACTGTCATAATATATTTACCACTTGAAAGATGAAACCACATGTTGACATAAAGGTCTGTGCATGACAGAGGGACTGCCTGTGTGTTTTGGTCACTTCTGTGTTCCTGGATGACTGCATCTTCGCAAACATTGTAACCAATCACCCGTTTCTATCTAATGCATGAGTCTCGCATTCCCTGCTCTGGATCTGCCCCGATTGCTGGCACCAGCAGACAGCCTGCAGAGGGCCTGAACAGTGCAAGAGCCAGCAGCCTAATCTGGCAATGAATCTTGGATCAGTGTCTCAGTGCAATACATTTCTCTATTCCCTCGGCTCAGTTGGACGGTGAAAGGATTAACCGTAAGAGATGGACACAAATTTGCAGCTCACTCTGTTGCCGTTTTGAAAAATGGCAGGTTTTTGGATTGTGCTTTGTCTCATTGCACATGTGT